GGTAGAAATCTGTTTACCTGCGTTTAGGCTACATTTGCTATGATGCAGTGAGCAAATTAAAGCTGTAATCGAATTAAGCTAATATGTAAAAAAATATATAGTCCCACTTTCTAGCCACACGCGTATAGCTGTAGCACTTCTAATGATATACTGGATGTATTTTTATGAACAGTAATTCAAAGTTGAGATTATTACTATCTGTATTTGTCTACATTTCCTAAAATAGGAAGCAAATCTTGTGAAAAGTACGCTGCTAGCCAAAGAGCATCGTTTAAGAACGTTTTAATAAGTCGCCGTCATTTTTAAGGCGCACTTACACGCAGCGCTGTCGGTTTTCGTGACGGACCGGCTCATCTGATGACAGTGATCCACGATCGAGTCAGATTTATGCACCTGGTCTCCTGACGCAGTCCGGACACATATTAATGGCGACGTTGGAGAGAGAGCCACAATACACACTATCCCAATGACAACATCACCCCCTGCTGGACAAAACTAGCAAGTACAACAGTGGCTGCTCATCCACGGCAACGTTTTATCGTCTCTTAAAGATACATTAACACGAGAACGCAAAAGAACAGGTTAATACACATTATTTATTTATGTACTGTAAATACACTACAGTAATAAAAGATAATGTGATGTAATGTTTTCTGTAAAACCAAGTGAGCGTTTTGCTTTGACTAATTTTGTTATCACCGTGTCTGGCTTTCAGTGAAGTATATGTCAGTAATACATATAGCTTTTTTTTTTTTTTTTTTAAACTTTATGTTTGTCCTTCAAGAACTCCCACCAGTATACTCTATTCTATTTATGTATTTATTTACTTATTGTGGGCGTCCAAAATGTTTAAAAAGTCCTTGCTTTAATTCTTACAAAGAAATTTAAATGTAAACCGTTCAATGTCTGTACTTCTAATAATAAAATTACAATGTCTTATATTATTATTTCTGCATTTCTTTTATTTCTATCAATATATATATATACATATATATATATAGATAGATAGATAGATATATATATTATATAACATCATCAATTTAAAAAAAGATCTAAAATATATTATTCAGTTCAGTCTGAATAAAAAAATATAACTTATAACTATAACTATATAACTATAACAGCGAAGAAAGCCAGCTGTTCTTTTTGTTTTAACAATAAATAGAATTTTTTAAAACTATTTTATTACTTATATATTATAAATAAGTACTGAAAGCATGTTTCTTATTGTATTATTACCATATTATTGTATTATTTGAGTTTTATGCATTACCGTACTTTTCAAATTTAGCCTCATCCTATATATTGTTTTGATAGAGTTTTTGTTTGTATTATTCAATCACAGTTCACGAGACACAACAAAAAGCATGCACACCTTCTGTGTACTTTTGCAGAAGTCAAGGACCTCTCACTTGCGAGTTAATGTTGCACCGAGCATTTAATTACCAAAGCATAAATGGCAATCTTTAGAGAATAATTTACTTAAAAATAAAATATAAATAAATTATTAGTAGGTTACGAGTACAATAGGAGCATATAACTATATGTAATTAATTCATTAATTTACATAAAGTTATTGAATTATTTCCCCTAAAATTTCTGTGATCATTTTTTTCTTTTCTAAATATAATTAATATATATATTTTTTAACTTATTGTAATTTGGCTGCATTGATGCCAAAGTAAAGAAAAAAAAAATGTTTCCTTTCAACATCAATATAATTACTATCACTTGCACATCATAGATTCATAGTTTTTCTTCTTTTCTTTTACAAAAATGCAAATTGAATAAGGCCTCTTCTGCACTGGGTTATGCAAAATAATAAAAAACAAACATCAGAATGTTTCATGAAAGCCTAATGATTACTTTTCATTTTCGAACGGATTACCTCCAAAACATTTTAAAAGGCTGGTCAAAGTTGGACCACAGATGGCAACAGATGAACATTATGAAGCCCAGCAATAACAACATCTTTCTATTCTGTGATGTGGGGATCTCCCTCTTCCCTTTCTGTTTAACTTCACACACAGGCGATGGCCAAAAAGTCTTCATGTGAGCCTAAGCTGTTGAGACACATGAGGAACAACTTACTGCATGGCAATTTCAAACTAAATTAAACCATGGTCTCCAAATGTCTCCATCTGACGCACACACACACACACACACACGTATTTGTGACTTTCTCTGTTGATGAGTTCCTAAAGAATCTTAAGCCTTCGTCCAACGAGGGCCATTAAATTTCCCATGCAGAGGTGCAGAGTGTGTGCAGTACCAGAACAAAACAATGAGAACACTTAAAAAAAAACACTTTAAAAGTTTGGCTTTAAAACATAAGCAACAGATGTTATATTGTCGTGGTGGAGCAGGATGCATGGTATTTGTTGTCACGTGGTTGTTTTCATCTTTATTGCAGAAGCGTCTCAGCCCGAGCAAGAACTGCAGCTCCTTTCATCGTGTTATTCAGTGGAATTGTCTTCGTAAAAATGTTTGGGCATGATTTTAGAATGTGTGCCATTAACAGCAACCATAGCACTTCATGTGGAATATTAAAAAAGTCTGTGTCTGTTAAATAAACTGCATGTGCTAGCAGACTTTGTGGCTAAACTAGGCTAAGATACTGTCTCATGATATAGACCTACATATGAACGGCTCCTTTTTAAATGGCAACAGTTTGAGAACTCCATCCATGTTTTGCTGGATGAGCAACAACAGATACAAAGAAATGATACCTAAAATGTGAAAAACAGCAATGGAAACAAAATATGCTGAAAATCTTCCAGGCGAGGCCAGCAGGCATAAAAAACTCCCTACAATCACACATCTGTATATGTGTGATTATTTCCCTGTCACAATCAAACATGGTGGATGTGTTCGCTGTGCGCGCGTGTGTGCACGTGCACATGTATGATTGCGGGTGTGTCATTAATAGGCTGCACTTCAGAGAAAAAGGTAGAAATCCGCCAGATGTTTTGCAGCTGGGTGGATCTGGTAGTGAAGATCTAGACAGCATCTGTCACGGGCGAACATTTCTAATCTGTCTTGAACATTAGGCAGAGAGCACTAAAAACCCATCACTGCCTGCTTGTGCGGCTCAGTTCACAACGTGTTCACCCGAGACTCTGAAGAGAAAGTTGAAATTAGATGAGAGCCAAACATATATTTATCAAGGCGAGTGGTAAAGGAGAAATTTTAACTACTACTTTTCCTGTATGGGTTATTATAAACTCCTGTGTGTGTGTGTGTGTCTGAAAATTTTTCAAAAAGCAAAACAGAGGCAAAATGAAGTTATTAGGGCAGAGTGCCTGAGGCTAAAGACCGGGGCTTTGAACTAGAGATCCAGCAGAGCTTAGTGAGGTCAAGATCTGTCAAACAGCAAGCACAACTAATTTCACCGTGCTCTTCTGGAAAGAGGATTTGGTCCAATAACCCCAGTTGTGCATTGTAAAAGCCATATATAAGCTTTTTCTTTTTAATATTTAAGTACAGTACACTTTGCCATTTGCAGTTTAACCTTATCCAGCCAATAAGGCTAAGACCTGTTACAGATAGATGCAGCCCTTTGTATTTTCGTTGAACTTTCTAGAAATACAGGTTATTAAATTTCCACAACACGGATGCTTTTAGCTGACATACTTGGTGTTTGGAACTGTGGGAATCACTCCAAGCTGACCTTGATGCTCTCTAGATATTTCCATTCCTGGGTTCATGTGCCTAGTTACCAGTTGGTCAACCTCGTGCCCTGTGAACTGACCCTGTCCTCCCTGCGAGGTTTGAAAGGAAAAGAAACCCAATCCTCCAGGGAGCGCTCCGACTAACAAGAAAACTGCTGGCCCGAATCTCTCAGAAGTGCTGTGTTTTCCCACTGGACCACTTTCAGCTTAATAAACATCTTAACTAGCCAGAGGTCCCGCGGGAGCTGCTGGGAAATCCTCTGGGCAGCCACAGAGCTCAGGAGCTGGCCTTTTATTGCATCCAGGTGGCTGTTAAAAAATGCTGGCTGGCCATAAATGTCCAATAAAATGCAAGTGGCACCTTCGAGGGTGGACAGGGTCAGTGCACCTGTCTGTGGATGAAAACTCCATCCACTTTGCCTTGTCCAATCAGTTAGATGTCGCATGTTGTGCCATCACAGCACCGGTGGTTTACTGAGTGAGAGTACTGGGCCCGCAGGGTAGAGGGGCGGGGGGGGACGCAGGCCCAGAGGTTTAACATTCCTTGTCGGAAAGGCAAACAGACGACCACAAAGAGATGCAAGCAACTGCAAGACGACTCAAAAGTGCTGCAAAGAGTGACCAAAAATTGCAGCAAACAGATACAAAACCAAGTGCAAAACAGACGCAAAAAGATAGATAATGATCAAAATCCCTTGCAATGTCTTCAGTTTCAAAACGACTACAAATGAGACCCAGTCAAAGCCAGTCAGGGTGCCTCGCCTCTATGCAGGATGAAGAGGCTGTACCGTGTTGGCCACGTGGCAAAAAACAGCACAAGTATGTTAAAATGAAGTGTTTCTTCTGTCACAATGAATTAAAACCATCATACTGCCACAATAATGCACAACGAACTGGTCAATTAGAGGAAAGCTCATTGAAATAGGGCCAGAGAACCGCCCGTTTATGTCTACTTGACACGAACAGTGGCAGCAGCCTCCCTTCATCTGTCCAGTCTGGTCCTTGTCCAAAGGGAGACTTAATTGTCCCGGGGAGGTTTTGGAAAGCTCTGGACGGTGTATTGAGCCTTTGATCTGACTTGAAAAGAGCTAATTGATTTCTGTGTTACAGGCAGCGTTAGAGGAAAGGGAGGGGGGAGAGAAAAAAAAAAGATGCTTTCTGGTCATTTCACAACATGTGCCGAAATAACTGAGAGAAAAAAAAGAGAGAGAAAAGAGGCCGGGAGGGGGTGAAGAGAGAGATCACCTCACACCCGACTACACCCTTGCTCAATTACAATAATTTGACTCACATGGGCTGGCCGACCACGGCAGAGGGAGCGGCGAGGAGAGCTGCTCTGGGAGATCACTCACCTTGCCTCTAGCTGAGGTACGGAAAGACAGATTTGATGTGCGGCTTCCCTCTGAGTGCAGCTCGGGGGCTTGTTAAGGTGGCGGCACAGAGAAGACCACACGTCTAACCTCTTGCTTTCAGTCTCAGTGGGGCACTCTAAAACCTGATGATGTCATCATGGAACAAAGAAACAAGAGGCTGACAGAAGTAAGCTGTAAAAAAGTACAACCTGAGCATCTTTATTTCTTAGATTACACTTACTCATTAATTTCCCTACATGCTTTTGCTGCCCATGAAGGAAAAGCAGAGGTTTGGGCTTTTGAATAAACTCTGTGCTGAAAGTATGAGGTCAGCAAAGATAATGCTGGAGCTCTGCATCTTCTGGTAATGTGATTCGATGCGTCACCTGCTTAAGATAGTCCACTTTGGGTCCATCTTGGTTCTGAGTGTGCTTTGACAGGCCTCCTGCCTTTACTGCTTCACCTCACTCAGTCTCTGGTCACCACAGCTCAGGGGGAAACAGAGCTGTCAGAGGCAGAGTGGCAGTCTAAGCCTGTCTTAACACAGCACCTCAAACCACCTCATAAATACAGGCTTCCTTTTCCAATTTCCAAGCGGCCCATCCAGCTCTGTCTACATGCTTGCTCACTGCTCCATGTCATGCACCGGGGTGTGAGTTTAAAAATGACCATGGGACATCTGGTCGACTCACAGAGGGTGGGGCTTTGATGTGCTGCTCTGCAGCTCAGTTCAACTTTAGCTGAGCCAAATCCTCCAGGCAGTGCAAAGCTATTGACTGAGAAGCCTTAAGTAGGTCTGGTAGGTCAGAGATAACTAAGGAGTTCAGGTGCCTTGAAACAGATTTGTCACGTGTGAAAAGCTTAGAGACAGCAGCTCCTAACTATTGCACCTTCATCTAAAAACCAGTGCGGTCCAAAGGCAGGTTGTTTCATCATTTCTCATATCATGAAGCCGAGCAAAAGGAGGAGTGAAAACATGTGAGGCTGTTTTTTGATGGACAGCACTCTCGAGGCTGGTCTTTGCCCTGCCTTTGCCCATCTGGAGCTTTCAGCTACAAGACCTCTTTTACCATGAAAGCAAAACTAGTGATAGGCTTCATCTAAACGTGCACATCTGGCCTCCACGAGTAACATCTCACTCTGCCTGCTGTCCATCTCCTGAAACAAAACCTTGTGACACTGAGAAAAACAGAGAAAGTGCAGTTTCTGCAAATTAGGAGCTGCATGTTTCAAAGCTGGCAGTATTCAAAAGTTCTGTAATACCCAGCACTTCTAATGAAAATCCTATGATGAAAAGGAGATTTGCTGGGGACTTTTTCCAGTCAAACTTGGCACTTTGGTGAATATATATATGTATGTATTCAGCTCTGGGCCACAATGGAGTCTGAGGCGCTCTGCTGGACAAACTATGTGATGACAGCATTTCTAAATTAGCCATTTTTTTTCCTCAGCATGATGTTTTCTAGATTAAAGTTTTCAGACTTGCACATATCTGAAACTGGTTCCAGTTTTAATGTTATAAACCCATTAAAATAGCTCTACAGATGTCCTGGTCGAATAGCAGAAGGGTATGAATGAGACTGACTCTTAAACTGCAGTACCCACGGTCATTCTAATCAATCAGTTTGCTTACAAGTCTTCTATAGTAATGCTCCATGGCACAGAAATAAGATATTTGCTATCTGTCATTTTTTAAATTACTAGTTAAAAAAATAATATTTAGTTAAAACAAAAAATATAAAAAAAAACTTGGCAGGGGATTAATTATTATAAGCACTATTAATATCAAATTAATCAAATACTTCATTGTTCACATACATTAATGATCACCTTTGCTTGTAAAGTGTAAGTGTGAATCTGAAAACGTACGGTGAACTGTATATGTGCACTTTATACGCAGCGGGGGACGGGGCTGTTACCGTGCTTACATAAGTGTCACCTCTTCATGAAGAAAGCGGTCGTCTGTGCAGAGGAGTCCTCTGAACAGAGCAGTCAAAGCAAACGCTCACACGGAGACATCACCTGTTGTGTGCTATGCTGGACACCTGCAAATATCAGAAGTCTTCAGTAATTCTGAATGCAAAAGTTCACAATGCAGTATGATTAGCACTATAAGACTCTAATTACCAACAGCGACATTTATCTATTCACGACTTTCTGATACTAATTACCCCTGCACAAATGTGAGAATGGATTCTTTGCACAATTTAATTAGTTGCAAATTACACACGAAGAAAAAGGAGACAAGTTATGTCTCAGTACTCAAGTGTAAATTCTGCTTCTAAATTTGACCTCTATGTGGCAGCAGGGTGTTGTTTAGTTTATTTAAAAAAAAAAAAAGATAAACAAATAATTTCATGTAGGTTTGTTTTTAATGCTTTGAATATTAAGAAAAAAAATGTGCAAATAAATATTACAATATTTGAAAATCAGCTTTAGAAAACCCTCGAATTGATTTTCCTAACCAGTTTCCTGTAGCAAACTGCAGCTGGGTGAATATATATGGCATCTGAAACTGTTCTCGGTGACTCAGTGGAGGAGTCACTGCTGACGTGGGTGGGCGCCTGGGGTAAGCGCTCCCGTGTCCCAAGGCTCTGCTCATTCTTGCAGCGCGCTGCTCATGATAAACCTCTTGACGGAAAGATGCTTCTGCTGGGAAATGAACGTTAGACTGGCCTTTTCGTGTGTGATGAAGCTGCCTCTCTGTTTCACTCCGACTGCTACTTACTGTCATCATGTACCCGTTACCCTGATGAGCAATATGTGAGTCACAGCTAACATACTTTTATGAATGAATCTATTTAGGAATACTAACTAGAAAAGATTAACTTTGTCCGTGATGGGTGAAATAAGACAAAATGCAAATTTAGAAAAGTAACCTTCATGAAAAATAAATTATTTTGTCAAATTTATTGTGCACAGTTGTAGCAACTATTTAAAATATTCAAAGTATTGAATTATTTAAATACAATCCATCATCCCAGTATCTCCATAAGGGCTATTTTTCCCCTTTTTTTTAAATTACACAATTGAAAATTGTGGTGTAATTTGATAGTTCATGATTGTTCTGAATAATCCCCTTTGTCCGTCTGTACTCTCTCAGTCGCTGCGACTCAGCTGAGACGAGGCTCGGTGACAAGTTACAGAACAATGCTTCGCTCTGTGCTGAAGTTGTACTGAAACTGCAAAGAGAAGAAGAAGACAAAGAGGTACACACACTGTTCATAAACAGAAATAAAAACATCACCAACAATTACATCAAGCAGCAAATCCACCAAAAATCAAATGTTACAGTCAAACATTTTCCTAACTATAAACTAAAAAACAAACTGATTTAACATTAAAGAATAATTTGCTACTTTCCCCAAAGACTGAGAAACTAAACAGAACCACTGCCCCCTTGTGGCTTGGCATGGGCAAGGCTAGAAATAAAGTGAGAGCCTGACACACGGTTGACTTCTGTGGAGTTAACGACAGGAAATGCTTCATTTTTTTGTTTTGTTTCAAAAATTTTATGCATGTTTATTATTTAAATTAGTTTTTCCAAAAAAATCAAAATCCAACTGAGTAGAATTAAAATTTTAGTGCCACAAACCTGTGATGTCATGTTTAAAAAAACATAACACTGAATGTCAAAGACTGTTTTTGGCCTTGATATGGAAACGCTACAGACTGACATTAATGAATAGCTCTGCGAAGGTGTGGTTTATAAATTTAAACGTTTTCATTCAGTCAGTTTTCGGAGCCACTCAATCTCTAGCTTCGATTAACCATCATAAAAAAATGACTGCAGAGCTTCTGGGGGTGATGTGCACATGTTAAATTTGTGGTGGCTGTGTTGTGTGATCTGGGAAAAAAAAGCCAAAAACAATAACACTGTTGGCCCTAAATTATTAAACGACATCTCTGAAATACTGGAAGTTTTCATGATTTTGTTTGTGAGCGCTTTCTGGAAACTTTTGCACCAAAAGCTGTGCCCACTCCACCAAGTTCGACAGCTGTTATTACTGCGACGCAGCACTAGGTGATGCTGTATGATCACTCAAATAAGTTTCTCCAACTGACTCCACAGAGCCACAATGGCTGAAATCGGCTTCTCCGGATTCAAAGCACCACCTTTCCTCATTTTCATCTACTTGAGGGGGGAATCTGCAACTTACCCAAAAGCTGTCACATATCACAAGCCCGTTATTTGCGAAAAGAAATTCTGCCTTCCCCCACTTCACCGCCACCAACACCACACAAAAATTCAGTCTCTAACATCTGGCACAGTAAATAAATATTCCTGCGTGTACGTGTGTGAGTGTGGATGATGGATGGGGGAATGGGGTGTTATCAGGGAGAGCATGTATCAATGTCTGCCAGTTTTACACACAGGCTGACAGGACAGTGACACACTAGAACATGGGCGGCAGTCACCCAGACGAGCCGGGCTTCATTTCCTGTCCCTGCTCCACTGCCAAAAATATGTGACATGTTGTCTTCATTAATTCCACCTCTATTTGGAGCTCTCCCTCTCACATACCCCCTGTACACTACTGTCCTGCCATACATTCACATGGAAACGCACAGTCACGCAAACATAAGCAGGAAGAGAAGCACACACACGCACGCACACACACACACCCAACTCCCCACAAGCACTGAAAACTAATCATACATAGGTGCTAATGAAAATCTTGTCATGTGTGGATACACACTTCTTTTCCACCCTAACGTACTCCCTCTGAAAATCATTAGCCAGCCGCCAACAACATTTTTCAGCAGAGCAAACTACATAAAGACGTCACTTTAAATCGCTTACTAATTAACACTTAAAAAGACACAAATTAGATATGCGTGGCTAAAAGCAATTATAATATCCGCAAGTTTTGCGAGTCATTTGGGAAATGAAAAGAATGCCTAATTGCTGGAACCAACATCATCTGAGACATGGCTTAAGTGATGCCTGTTAGGAAATGGTCTTATCTACAACTGTGGCTGTGATTACAACAGTTTTCCTCAATTACATGTGCATATGTAGAATTCTGGAAAGCGCATCTCTTCCATGAATCTATAATTTTAAAGGGATTTAAAAAGGAGGCAATTAGGTTCTGTGCAGAAAGCGCCTCCAGTTTCTGAATAAGGGAGGAAAAAAAAGAGAAGGAGCCCTACAGTGAGGCACGGACAGTGACCTCTTCTGGACAAGAGAAGAAGAAATCTACTTCCAGCTGAGGGACAATTAGATCCAAAACAGCTGCCTTTTTTTGTCTTGTTTTGTTTTATACAACCACGAATAAAGTTCTGCTTCTTTAGCAGCCTGGAGAAAAGAAAGACAAGAAAAGAAAAGAAAACACGGTGGATATTAAATTAATAATGTAGCACAGACCCGGAAAAAAAAAAGGAGAAAATTTACAGACAGGATGTTTTCCAGCGTGTTTGCGAGAATATCACAGACTACGTTTCCACCCCCCCACCCCCTCCTTTGTCCTGCAGATATCATTGTGGGGTAATAATAAGAGGAGAGAAGTAAAAATAACACAATGGTGAGGGATGTTTCCACTTGGAAACTAATTATCAAGCTAAGCTGTGACTTCATCCTCATCAGCCTGGCCCCACCATTAATCTTGTGCTGTCGTCCACTTCACTAAATCTTGTGTGTTACACTATCTCACATTTACTTCATCAGCTCCAGCGCGGCTGTAATTAATGATTTCTCATGCCCTTCCCTTCTCTTCCCCAGCTCAGCTCACCATGTGTCCTCCTGCTAATCACACTCTCGGAGAAGAAAGGAAGGAGGAGGAGGAGAGGAGGAAGGATGAGAAGAGGGGAGAGGAAGAAGGGGGGGGGGGAGAAAAGAACATATAGGATGAGCAGTCAGGCTGTCTCCAACCCGGACACACACACACACACACTCACACACTCACATACACATATATGTACATGCCATTAATACCTGTGCTGACAATGAGCTTCATTCAGATGACCATATGACAAGATGGCGACTCTGTGTGATTTGGATAGTATATGACAGAAGACAGAGGCAGAGTGCAGAACAGACACCCGGTTTGATGAGGGAGTGTTTGCTCTGTAACACATCTCAAACCCAACAGCACCTGTTCTTTTACAGTGGTCTGTCACTTCCTGGCAGTTCTGATACCGAGATACCGTGCTAATGAGAGAGAAGGGGGGTTGTCACTCTCTTTAAAGCACACGCACGCACACCTACACACATTCGCACGCGCACGCTCGCTCACACAAAGACATAGCGGCTCTCTTTTTCTTTGCCATCACAAACACGTGAGCTCCAAAGAAGGAGCTGCTGCACACAGCTGATCTGCTTCATACGAATGCCTGTAGGCTACAGTGTTTCATCAGAAATGTGGAAGGGCTTTGTGGCGCTTTCCACTCACTCGGCGTGATCTCTTAACTTTTTATTTATTTATCTTTAACTGCAAAGCTGATTGGAAACTTAAAAAGTTTATGTGACCGGAAAAAGGCTCCTTAAGATGTACGGCGCTGCTTGCGAGATTCTCGATTGAGCTGTGTGAGAGGTGGGTGGGGGTGGGGGGTTGGGGGGAGAGTAGAATTGGGGGAATATAAGTCAAGTGTTTTGGAACAGGATACGAAGCTTTTAAGAAAGAATGGCTGCCTAGCTTGGCCGTGCTTTTATTCAATTGGGGCTTAGTGGAGCCAACAGGGCCTCGCTGTCTCAGACACTTAATTACAACCCCAAGACCGTTTGCTTTGCATTCTGGGCCAGCGGCGTCAGCGGCAGCCGAGCATTGCAGCCTCTACTCACTTCCTCCTCGATGTCTGCCAGGGATTTGATCGTAATGCCCATTAAATTGACTTGCTGCATCTGAAATCAAAAGCAGGGGAGAGGAGGAGGGAGAAGGAGAAGGGGGAAGAAAGAAAAAAACACACAAGAAACATGGCGGTTAGGCTCATGGCTAAGTAAGCATGCTTAAAATCTTTAATCCTCTCCCTCTCTGTGTCAATACAAACGGGGCTATAGTGACAACCACCGCCAGCCAGCCAAATGGACTGCATTGAGCCAGCTCTGCCTGACTGCACGCATTCATCACTCAGTCTGGAGGAAAGGAAAAGGAAAGAATAGGGAGAAAAAAAGGCGAAGAAAGGAAGAAAAGGACAGAACTAGTGTTCACCTGAAGAGAGTTTGTAGGAAAAATCATCGGCACCTTCATAAGAAATCATTTTGCAGTTTGTCACTAGAGCCACGAAACCTTTTGATTTATTTATTTGTTTTTTTTTACCTCTTTGGGGATTTTTTGCGAAAACTTCTCCGAGATCACAAAGGGCACATCATCCAAAGCTGCAAAAAACACAAAAAACAAAGTTGAAGTCTGACTTTTATACATAAACATATTACTCCCCACTCTTGATCCCAAGAATCTCCACGAGACTAAACGTGGGATTATAAAAACAGCAAAGCTATCAACATCCCCAGCCACCCTGACACCTCCCTTCCTTCCGTCTACGGAGAGAAGATGAAAGGCTTTTTTTTTTTTTAATTCTCCACTGTATTTGAGCACCTCCACTCTCTCTCCTCCAACCCAGCCCTTTCCCAGCCCTCTTCCAGTTTAATTACTCTTGATTATTCCCGATTCCGTCTTGTCTGAGAGATGTTCACCTCCGAAACAAAGACACACTCACACTAGGCACAGAAAAGCGGAAAGAAGAGAGACAAAACATTCACCAGATATCAAATTTGCATGAAAATAAGCCGCACTGTTCAGCTGGCAAAAAAAGTGGATTGAAATGAGGACTTGCCAAGAGCGTGGTGGTATAATTAGCATTTGACCAAACAAACGAGCTTCAACAGAGCTATAATTAAGCAGGCCTGTAATTAAGTGTATGCCCTTTATCATAATGATCGTGGTTAAAATGGTGTGATGGCTGCCAGTTGATTATTAATGGTGTAACCCCGTCCTGCATGCATCCTGCACTGGAATCAAGGTGTCACGACTGTCAGGCTAGAGAGCAGCCCTTTGTTTATAAAATACATTAGGGCCCAAATTAACACAGGGTGACAAGAGACACAAAGCCTCTCGTTTCCAGACTGAAGGGAAAACTGCAGCTGCTCGGCTTCATTAGAAAACTCCCAAATCTGGAGGCACAAAACTTGCTGCAGTCGACTTCAACGCGAGCCCCAAATATCAAGAGGCCGAGCTTCCAACTGGTGTTCTTTCACCCGCAGTCCATCAGGCGCTGGCACAGGAAACGGAACTCATAAACGTAAGCCAGAGCTGTTCATGAGTCATCGTTTTGGGGGTGGAAGGGATGGGGGGGCTGAAACTCCTTTTGGCCTTTTCCTGTTCACACAGCAATATCTGAAAATTATGAAATTCTAAAATATCCCTCACTTTGACACTTATGCGAGTTGCTTTCCTTTTCTTTTTTTTTCTAGGTTATTACACAGATCCACGGTTTGGCACTTTCCGCACAAGTGCAGCACAATGTGATCTTTGTAATCAAAGCGTGACCCGCGCCCTGCGTGACCGCAGGAAAGCTCGCTCACTTCCTCGGATTCCAATCATCTCCCGTAGTAAAAAGTGCAGCAGTAGCAAGACCGTGATAGCCGTTTTGTACTTAAACACAGCGGCGTTTGCCCCTGTGCTGCTGTTCTCCATGAGTCCCTGTTTCCCCTGCCTATCCCAGCCCAGAGCGCTCCTGCTGATTCCAACTCTCTCTCTCGGGTAAATAAAGGTAAAAAAGTTCTGTGTATATAATTGCAAAAATAACAGACTAATTTGGAATTGTTACACTAATTAGCACTTAACAAAGCTAGCACTTCTGTGGTACAGTTAACACATGATTCCCGAAGGAGACACAAACACAGTCTTAAGGCGTCACAAGCCTTTGTTGAAAAATGTCACGTGAGTCCATATATGATATAAATTTGAGCTGATTGACGTTAGATGAAGAGTTCATGCATTATCAAAATGATTGCACTTCAGGAAAGTCGGTGTAACACCAAAGTTATTCCTCCTCTGTGCACCACCATTCAATTTTCTGGTAACAAATCCAATATTTAGAATAGTTCAGACTGGTTCAAAATCAAGAGACATTACTATCAAGCAAGCGATGTCACAAGTAGGTCTTATAGGTGCTAGGAGTAAAAACACATTGAGCCCGATCTCATCTCCCTGCAGCGGTTTCGAATGCGTTGCTATTTGAAGCAGAGGGCAACTAGGTAGGCATGATGGCTTGTTCAAGCTCGGGACTACAAGTGAATAAACATGCACTCTGTTGCTGGGAGTACCAACGCCAGGCACAAGTAGGCAGGGAGAATACATCTGAATCAATAGCCAGCAATGGGAAGCGTAGATTGTAGCTGCTGATGGATCTGCGTGGCACAGACAGATGAATGGACAGTGCTGAAGGCCAGAGAGTTTCTTTATTGCTCAAGGATTACATTTAAAACCAGATCCCACTTTGTATTCCTCTTCCATCTATACCAGAGAGGCTATCTTACATCCAGACAAATGGAAAAGCACGGGTGGTGACTTGGTGGTAAGGAATGGATGCTGTACTGAGGAGAAATCTGAAGGTGCAAAGGGCAAAAATAATGTAAATCCAATCTTCTGAGCAGGAATCCCAGTATGAAGCATGTTCTAGCTGCTTAAATGGCCCCGCTACACTCCATTAACTCATGAGTGCATTGCAGTGCGGGGAACTGGGCAGTTATTTGGCATTTGGAGCCTGTCAGTATATTCAGCACAAAAACATCTGGAAGGAATTTTGGCATAGCGTCTAAGATGATGATGGTGATGGTGATGATGATGATGATGATGATGATGGTGGCAGTGAACACAGAGGTGGTGTTAAGTAAGGAGGACCCTGCGGATTGAGTGATTGTAGTGTAAAGAACGAAGTCAGCACAGGCCCCGTGTGGATCATCGCCTTATTAATGGCTCCGTCAGGTGCGATGAGCAATGGCTGCATTGTCATCTCCAGCCCCTGGGCACAGATGAATGGCTGTTTCAGGGCGGGAAGGGCTCCCTCGTACGCTGGGCTGAGCACTAATCCCTCACTCTTCCATTGTTGGATGCACTGTCACCCAGGATTTCAGCAGCGCCATACATTGCATTTCCAGGGCTCTAACAAACATGGCCGCGTGCAACGCAAGCGGCGGCATACCCACAGACACACGCACACGAACACATAAACCACACCGAGTTGTGCTCCGACACTGACTGATGGAAAAATATGCGTGGGTGATCGAGCATACCCCATATTACCTGAACCACAACTGGAGAGTCGCACTTTAGGAATGTTGATGAACTTTTATTTTACACTTCACTAATTCAGCAGAATTGCATTGATCTCTGTCTAGTATGATTACTTGGGTGAATCTGTCTCGCAGCTGAATTGGAGAGGGGGTGGGGGCGGGGAGGCGGAATCAGGGCGATTATGCGAAAAGTGCAAATGAACGTCTTTTACAAGTTTTTACTTGTGATCGAGCTGCCATCTTTTGTTTTGTGTCACAAAATAATCTGAAAATAGAAATAATAATTTTAAAGAAAAAAGGTTAAAGCTTTATCTGGTGGCTGCTGCATTTCATATGCCAAACAATTGGATGCTGCTTTTTTCTCTGTGTGTAGCCAGAGCTAGACATGGCACTGCCTCCCCTGTCGGTGCGACTCTCAATTTGAGTTGGATTTTTTATGCAGACCATGGAAATGCTATTCTAGCTGCTGCAGACCCTGCTCTCTGTCACCTCTGCAGATAATGGTGAGTAGATGAACAGAGAGCTGGAGGAGGACCCCCTATGCCCACTCACAGCCCTTAGCCTGAGTCTGACATGAGAAATAGTGCCCAGGCCTGACAGCATCTCGGAGACATATTGTAGTTTATTTTGTCGCCCGGGCTTGCCATCTGTGCCATTCCAATAGAGGGTGTGTGTTCAGGCTGCTGCAAGAGAGAGGGCGCGAGGCTCTGGGTCCCTCAGTAGCTCTGCAGCCACGGCAGGTCATTAGTCAAATTGCCTAATGAGAGAGAATACAAATGGCCCCCTACCCTGACAGGAGGAATTTTGGAGGTGTCAGAGCTCCTGACCCGTGCTATGAGAACAGATGATAGCGAGTTGCTATTTTCAGATTCTTTTAATGACTATGGCTCTATGAAACCCATTCTTTTTCTTTTATCTTTTTTTTTCTCCTCCTACTTTTTCAACCCCTCTAGACAGATGAGTGAAAAAAAACTTTGCAATAGCGGAAATGTAACTTTTTAAATTATTAAAATGTTTACCGGGGAGTCGATTAACATTCTAAAAAAGAGCGTAAAACGCTGATATTAAAATAGATCCCGCGCTGAAGTGATGTTGAGGGTTTCTGATAATCTATTTTTATTTTCTTTCTGCCGGCTGTGTGCAGTTTGTTTCCGCAGCGGTCTCACGGCAGCAGTGTGTGCGAGCTTCTCTCGCAATTCTCCCGACAGTCAGTCAGTTAGTTTATACTGAAATATTAATTTCATTTCGTCCTAACGCTTAAAAAACGTAAACAAGCTTAAAAGGTTTCTGAAGCACTAAGAGTGCGCCGCATAAGATCCAGTGGATTGAATGCATTTATGGTTGCATGCTACAGGCTGGGGCTGCTACAGAGTTCAGGAATCGTGGAAGGAAAGCGTCGAGGGAGTGGAGAGAAACTGCACCATTTTTTAAAAACTCAGTCTTTGTCCACTTGACTGCTTATTTTGATCTTTAATCCATTAAATTAAGTAAAACAGTTACTTTCCTAACATATGCAGCGTATAAATAGAATGAGATATGAAATTGGCTTTATAGTCAAACTGTAAGCAGAGCTGCAACTGAGATTTTCGTGACAAGTACCAAAAAGTAACGAGACAGACTGCCAAAACTAGCAACAGACTCAAATGGAGTCTGAATAAACTGCTTTATTGTTGAATTCACCAGTGTTAAAATTTTGCTCTTTGTTACCAGAGGGGTGCAAAACGACATGCTTATGTAGAATGACCCACTTATTTTTCCATCTGTGACAAGCAGTCCTTGAAATCTGGTTGTGGGTAGGGAGCCAGCCGACAGCCTCAGTCGGGCGCTGGTCCATCAGTCTTCCAGAAAGTGGGCAGAGCCAGCAACACTTACGGTGCCTTGGCCACAAACACCGCTGCATAACGCAGAGCGCTCTGAGGGGGTGCGTACATGTGTGATAACTTCTCAAGACCGAGCCTGTATATGTAGCACTGGCTATTTAGCGTGAAGCACCGAGGCTGTTCGGTCACTTGGTTTAAAACCTGTTTTAGTCATTCCTCTAAAGCACTTAATGCTAGAGAAGTACAGAGAGAACCCTCCTT